AGTAAGCAAAAGCGAATGGATCAATATCTGGGCCTTGTCCATCAATCTCTGGAAGGTCGCTCCTGCTTATGACAGTTCGAAGGGCATTTTCTTCAATTGAAAGTGCCCTAATCCAGGTACTGTAAACGCCGATATCGGACGCGATTCTTCCTTTAGGGGAATTTGATGGTACGCGCTACTCAAGTCTAGCGTGGATATGAACTTTACAATCTTATCCGTCTTAGGATGTCGTTCAGATATGGCAAAGGATAGGCATCAGGTTTGCTTATTGCGTTTATCTTTTGGTAATTCACGCAAAACCTATAATTTCCATCAGCCTTCTTTACCATCAAACCTGGACTTGACCATCCGCTGGTCACTGGTTCGATTACATCTTTTTCCAGCATATCCTTGACCAGTGCGTGCATTTCCTCTCGCACCCTATCAGAAACTGGGTAGTACTTCTGTTTGATGTGTCAAGCACTTCCAACATCTATTTCGTGCTCAACCCCCACGGCACATCCTAAACCCTTTCCTCAGTTTGGAATCAATCTTCTGACAATGTCTTCGGTTTCCTCAAGCTGTGTTTCCGTGGCCTTCCACAGTCCTACTGGTGCGAGAAATGCCGTACTATCAATTCCAGCCACTTCCATTAGTACTTTTACCTGGGCGTCCTTCAGCCATAATTCATCATCATCGGGATCCAAAACTGCGCGGAACTCTCTTATAAAGTTCGCGCCTACTTAGCAGTCATCCGTAAGCAGTAACGTAATGGAGACTCTAATTTCTCGTTTGATTCCCCCTACCTTAAAAGGGAACATCACGTGACCAATTCTGAGGCATGGGTGCCATCGGCTAGCCTTGCATCGCCCACCCTGGTCAGATTCAATCCGAGTCCCATCTCCGATTTCAATCTCAGCCCTAACTGACCCACGACCGTTGATGAGGCGCCGGTATTATCATAGAGTGCTCTAATCTTAAAGCCACCTATGTCTACCCGCAACCACCACCTGGTCTCATTCTCTGCGTCATATCTACGAGTAGCATTCTTTCCTCCATTCGTCGCACTTCTCAGCGGTTTTTTTCCCTTCCGCTGATGATACGACGATGGGCTTGCACGTACTCGTGGATTCCTTCGGCACGGGATGTTTTTGTGTGGAGGGGCTCGAACCTTTCAGGTCTTCGGGTTGCTCGATCCTTACATCTATCGAGTCTTCCCCCTCCTCCATAACCTCCACCATTGTATGTGTGGCCACCTGGTCCGTCCAGGATGACGACTCCCCTATTCTGCCGAGGGCTGACATCGGGCTCGATCATTTTCTGCTCCAATGTACCGCTAGGTTCCAGGCTCTCTCAATGCCCTACCAGGACCTGTTTGGATCCCTGGGTCGCCGAAATCTTGCTGTTTCCCATCGACGACCCACAGCGAGAGGTCGAATCTACTGGAGGCGCGAAGGTGACCTCTTCTCTTCACTCTCCTTGCCATTTCCCTCGTTGCAGTCTGGGCAGAATTTACGACTGAAACGCAGTTTGTCACAAGCGGAACACTGGAGAGGTTTTGTGAAGTCTATCTTCCACCTCTCCCTTTCTCGCCGCTCGCCAGGAGACCTGGGAGAAGGATAATTTTTCTTCCCCCACGCGATCGTCTTGTTACTCTGTTCTGGAGAGCTATCCTGTCTTTCTTTGGCCAATTTGCGCAGGATTCTCTCAATGCCCTCCAGACGCTCCTCCATTTTCTTATCAGGAGGTTTACGTATCCAATACCGTTGCTTGCACGATAGGCCTCTTAGCAGGGTTCTTCACGCCCTGTGGCCGCTGCGGATCTTCCTCCTTCTCCGCACCCGCCTTCCCTTCGCTGGCCACTGCAGTGGTTAGTGATTTGTTACCAGCCGTTCTTTTACTCGGCTGGTATGCGTGCTAAAGGAAGATCGTCGAGTTCAGATCCGCGAATACGCGTGGACGACGACCGTATGACAAAGTATTTTGTACTTCCGTTGCCCTCCGATTAAATTCACGTATTGACGTCAACTCACTCCGGAGCAGCTGAATTTGGATGTTCGGAAGGAGGTTTGCATGGAACAGGTCTAATAACCTCTCCAAGGGCATTGGTGGTTCCAGTCTATTAACAAAAGCCACCAGGTTGGACGCATAGTCTCTAACCAATTCGTCCTCGCCCTGAAATCGGTTCTGAGCTTCCTGTAGCAGCCTTTTTACTATTGCCTACTTGTGCCGAATCATTCTTGGGCGTCGGCGACCAATTCGACGTAACTGAGCCATTGGTACTTATTGTTATCGTACCAGGTTTTCTCATTACCTTCGAGGATCTCTAATATGGAACAAAGTACTTCGTCGTCGGTTAGTCCTGCGCCCACACACAGGTCTTCCAACCTCGATAGAAACGTATCCACGCTCTGTGCCCTATTACCTGCAAACCTCAATTTCCATCAGTGGACAATTTTTCCAATATCTCGGGTTGTGAAGAGCCTTGAGGATAAATTAGGACCATTTCCAGACGATCCACTTCGACTCCTCTGTCGAATAGGTGCGGATCTCCCGTACTTTTCTGGATCCTTTTCACCTCCTCTTCTTTGGAGGGCTTCTGGTAGGGTGACGTCCCTTCTCCTGGGCACTGGTCTTGGAGGAGCCGGTGTGCTTCCCGGAATTTCAGAGTCGTAGTGACAGGTGAATGTGTCCTCAAAATCCATATTACGTCTGGAGCGCGGTTGAATCGAGTCACGTTGGGAAGAACGAGCTACATTGGCCATTTCATGCATTCCGTCCTCCAGCTCTCGTATTCTTTGGCGCATGTCCTGCACCTGGCGCACTGCACACACCTGTATGCCGTGCAGAGTCTGAAGGGTCTTTAGGATTCGACCTACCAGCTTGTGGTTACGGTTGACTCCCTCCTTCAGGTACTCAATTTCTCGGAAGGCTTTGCTCAAGGACAATCTCATCTTCTTGAGGCTCTTTTCGGGTCCAGGATTCCTGCGCCCTCAGATCCGGGTTGCTTCGTCTCCTCTCCCTCTCCTCTTGTTCCTGTGTGTGGAGTACCTTTTAGATGATTTCATCCTCTTCTTGGCGTCTGGCTTCGACCTCCGAGTCCTCATCCGGGCAGGCGAATGTCCTTGACATACTTGTCAAGAATATTCTCTCCCTGTTGATGAGTCTCAGGGGATAGTCACTGTGCTTCTCTGCGTTGAGATTTTCCATCTCATCATAGATTGTATCGAGCCACGTTTGTCGGGTGCGCCTCCTGTGCCCCATCACCTCTTTACTGTGTGTGGTCACTTCGAAATCTGTGGCGGTGTACTCACCCAGCAACCGTCTCCCAAGCCTAGCCGCATGCTAGATAACACTTCCATCCTTGCGCAGCTCTAGATCCGCTAAGTAGCGTTCGCGCTGTACATAGGTCAGCTCTAATGTCCAAGTATCAATCTGTACTGACGACAGAGCCATCTTACCTCCGTACGAGTGTAGGATGCGGTCGAGATTTAAATATCGGCCTATTCAACCACTACCGCTTCTTATCACCCAAGGTATAAGCGAGTTATACAATAATTAGTGTACCTATCCTAAATGCCTTCTTTTTAAGGCGTAAACTCACGAGATTATCAGCGCGTGCAGTCTCCTCAAACTATCTACCAATAAGATAAAAATATTCTGCCTAAGGTTGGAGCCTGCTGTTTGCCTGCTCCACCTGGCGAATATTTTCTGGACTGCACGCTTGGGTCGCGGTCTCTGCTAATATCATCGCTCAGGTGTTTCCGGCCCCCCTTTATCCACCAAACTATGGCTCCAATGGGCTAGCACCTGTTAATAAATAATAACGATTTGGAATCGCTTCAACTTACTAATTATACCGCTTTCGGCCCTTATTACATTAAATTTAACAATTTATAAGAAAAAAGGTTGAAGGGATTCCGTTTTTGCCCCTGCAAAGGGCGCACCGCTCAAGAACTCACGCTACCACCAGCTTAAACCTTCCTAAGCGCTCACGCAGTCGTCTCTCTCACCCGTGCGTCAATTACCTTCGACGGACAATCCTATTCGCACTAAACGGATCATAATACCAGTTGGGCGGCATGTAACGGGGTGGTTATCTAGTAAAATAGGAATTTATTAACGCACAAACTCCCACGATGCAGAGCTAACCGCCGCTCCGTTAAACAAGTATAGTTATAGGTGTATTCGCCTTCACGTTTAATACTTTCGTTTCAGTGTCGTCTTTCCAACCGAGTTGAACTCACCTTAAGTCACTTGACTTGTGACAAACGATCTATCTTAGGTATGAGTGACCTAATTCTTAATCTGTCTAATCCCCTAGATGAAATCTGTTAAACTATTAGGAAACGATATGACGTATAAAATTAATAATGTTTAATTTAAATAAACTACAGTCTTTTATGGGTCGAAAGACTAACGCACGCGAATAGGATTTACAGTGATTAATAATAATATCGAAAGAGAGAGTGAGAGAGAATTCGAGTTTTGCCGCGAAAACTAACGCTCGGCGCGGATACAAAAAAAATAACAATCGCGATATACAAAATACTCTCGCTAGTATTTTGTTACGCCATAAAAATGTAGGTGCACCTAACCTGCGGTGCAATTACAGTGATCAGCCGTAATCGTTGAAGAGAAATCTTTTCTGCCAACGGATTCTTCCTGATTAATCAGCTGCGCTGCTTCACAGAAAATCTGTTGCTTTGCTTGCTGCTGCTGTAATGTTGCTCCTGCTGCTAGGCTTCCTCACTAGTGCTCGCACACGTATCCAAAATTCCAGGAAAACTTTGTAGCAAAGCGGCAAAATACTATGCAAACTAATTGGCGGTACTCTCGCAAAAGCAGCTGAGGCTTAACTAACTATTTTCAAACTCTAGCGCGCCCTCTCTCTCTCTTAGTTGTTCCTAGCATCGCGAGTGTACCGAATCGCGAACGGATCAATTAATCAAATCCATTACCGTTGCAACCAATAAAATATACGATAAGTCTCAAATTGTAAAATGAATAATTATACATACAGATTTTGATGTCTTCTAGCTCTAGGTAGAGTATTTAATTTTTCTTTCATACAATATTGTCTAGCTCCAAGGATTATATTCTTAATGTACTCCATCTCTTCTACATTGAAGAAGTCTATTGAAAATATTAGTCGATCTTGTTCACTCATACTTCTCCAAAGATTTAGTAAATTGGTATTGTGGAAATTCCATTCTCTAGTAGTAAAATATTGAAGAACGTCTAGCCCATCTGATATACGCTTTTGTATGCGAACCATACTGTAACAAATGTTTTATAATCAGATTCTTATAATACACGATCCAATCAGATATTATTTTTATACAAAAGTTATATAATAAAAATAATTAATTAAATAATGAAAAAATGAATTAATGAATTCTAATAATATATTAAAAATGTATGAACAATACTATAGGAAAAGTTAATAAAAACAATTAATTAGCTGGATCTCATTAAATTAAATCTACGAATTAACAAAATTCTTTTAGTTAACATGTTTGCAATGAACAAATCTTGTATAGAATAATACTCAAGAATGAAGAAATAATAACTTGGTACACGTAAAAAATAATTATTATTTTAATTTATTATTCAACTTTCAGTCTATAATATAGTCTAAATTTGTAGTAACGTATTTAACGAATGTTAGAATCTCCACGCACGAATGGTTCTTAGTAACTAAAGCACTCATGCTTTCCTTTTCACACGTAAATAATAGTCAATGAGGAAATAGAGTCACGGGCAAATTTAATTGTAAAAATCGACTATCCGTTTACATTGTTACAATAACTTTATGTATATGTATATTCTTAATGTATCATAATTTCAGTAATAATACGTTTATCAAAGGCAGAATTCATTTTTCTTCAAGCAACTACATCTCCCTGAATTTGGTTTGGAATTTTGTATAATTTGGTATAATTATACTTACTTTCATAGAATACCTTCATTTTACTTTGATCATATTTCAATGATAAGCGAAATTTTGATATTTTTGTTGTATTGATTTGTAATGTCGAATTGGATATAGCAACTGTTGAAATTTTCCATCTAATACAATTACCTACGTTAACGTTTGTATTGTAACATGCTTTTCATGTATTATTGAGTGCAATAAAATGCGCGCTTTCGATATATGGTTTGAACTTCTGAATGTCAAACAGCAGATCAAAGTCAATAGCTCGAGCAGGACTTCGCGTCGCAATATATGTAAAAGGGCCGAGTATCATTCGGGAGTAATACCACGGAATCTTCTGTCAGAAATAAAATATATAGTTCAATATATACACAAAATATAAAAATATACTAGTGAAAAAAATTAAGAGATCAAATAAAAAATTCAAATTTTTAGTGACTTTTTAAATAGCTGTATTTTTGTTAAAAATGATCCCATGAAAATAAAAAAAATGTAATTGAAGTTTGAAGTTACTAGTTATTGAATATTAGAGTCAAAAAAATTACCAGTCAATGTTTTTCGCACAATCCTAACGAATATCTCATATAATTCTACCTATACATAAGGTAGTTTCGATAGTCCGATAATCAAAATGGAGGGAGGGGCTGCACTTTCTAACAATCAAACATTAATTGCCAAATAAACGGAACCTTCTATTTTTTACTAATCATTTGTTTGTAAACTTAGTCATCAGTATTTATAAATGTCGTTTTGACACAGTATTCTTCGTCGTGGGAAAAAATGGTTAGACTAATTATTTATACCAGCGAAGACTTCAATAATATGATGTTGTGTACTGGTTGGGCTGAGAGAAACGCTAACGCGGCTGCTCCCATATACGCTGATCGTTGTCCTCCTTCCCATCCTAATGGTTGGATCGTCCAAGCTGCTGTACGCAGATAGAGCGAAAAGGGTAGTGTTACAGTCTGAAATCTCGATGAAGGTCGATCACGAGAACGTGATTTCCTCCATGAGCCTATCGTCACAGCTTTCGCCGCTGATCTATCAGATAGTTTGTGGTCGATTTCGCGTCAAATTGAGGAGGTGACAGGTATGAGGTATCCTTTTAGCACGGTTCAACATGTTATGAAAGATGATGATCATCATACCTATCATCTTCTGCAAGTACGGACACTAGATAAGCTTATAAATTTGTAATATTATGATAGTATTAAATAGACTTTAACATGATATCAAAATTGATTTTTTTTAATCATATTTTAGTTTTAAATAGTTATAGAAATGCTTTATTTTTAATAGAACTTGGAAATCTATCAGAACGACTGAGAAACAGCCAGTGGTTAGTGGACGCGCCTGAACAAGATTCTGACATCTGCGGTCGCTTTTTATGGATCTATGAATATACCTTTGGACGAGTCGATCTATTCAACCAGCACAACGAACAGGTACGATAAAGTATGTTTTAATTACAATATTACTCAAATCTTTACTCGTACTACGAAAGAACAAAAGAATGGTTCTTTTTTAAAGCTCTATACAATTTTCACAAGATTCTAATATTTTTATTATAAATTTAGACCGTTCGCAACATCGTTATGCCAACAATATATGGACTGGAGTCATTTGGAACCAGATTGTGGGGTCATTCTATCTGCCGGGAAATTTGAATGCTGAAATGTACCTCGAGTTTCTTCAGCATGGTCTACCACATCTTTTGAATGATGTGCTCTAACCAGAAGAGCAAGAACATATCCTCTTCATGCACGATGGTGCTCCAGTATACTTTGTTCAAGCTGTACGACATTATTTTGATGATGTAATTACTTTATTTGATCTATTTTTTTTTTTGAGAAAAGAATGCTCATTCCGATACTTTTTACAGTCTTAGCCTTAGTGGATTAGTCGGAGAGTTACAGTGAAATTATCAGCGGATTCTCCAGATCAGAATCGCTTAGATTTTTATATATGGGGAACGTGCTAAAAAGAAAGTTACCATAATGGCGCATCCGCTACAGCTGATGAGTTCTGGTGATGTGGAGAAGAATGGACAAAAAACGCACCATCGGAGAAAATCCATTCAGCAACGCTCAAAGTACTACGAAGAGCTTGATTATTTATCACAATGAAAGGGAACAGTTTCAATAATGTATGAAATTAGATCTGGATAGGGATAAGGTCGCAGGAAATGAAGATCATGATGAGCTTGACAACGAACATTATGGAGAGGACGATAATGAGCCAAAAAATCCCAATAATCTATATTGAGACATGGAAGAAATAAATAACAATTTAACGTGTATAATTAATAATTAAAGAATAAAACATTCCTCAATAAAGTCGCGGAAAAGTCGTAGAAAAATTATGGAAAAGTCAGAAAGAAGTTATAAAAAAGTCGTAAAAAGAAGACTTTCATTTACTTTTGGTAACATATCTAAGTTAAGTAATTTTATATGAAATAATTGCGCATGTGTACGGGTGTGCATGTGTGTGTGTAAGAATGTGCGTGTGTGTGTAAGGGTGCGCGTGTGTCCATGCGTGTATGCGTGTGTTCGTCCGCGTGCGTGTGTGCACGTCCACATATATGAGTGTGTCTGTGTGAGTAGATGTATGCTTGTGCGCAAACGTGTGATTTTACTTTTCCAGATTCCGATTTCAATGCAACAAACTCTTTCCTCAATGCTTTCTTCAGAGATGCGTCCTCTTCATTATCGTTGGAATCTGCTTTACTTTTTTCTTCTTCTTTTTCTTTTTCGCTATCCGTCGATTCCTAGTCCTTTTCTTCCTCGTCAAAATCATATTCATCGTAAATTTACTAACAAATTTTTATTTTAATCAAATTACATGGTGTTTCCTTTTCAAAACGAATTACTGTTTCACCTGTAAAATGTTTAACTTATCTAATTGTAAGTACCACTAGTCATCAAAATAATAATCTTAATGAACATTCTACAGCTACAAGATCATAAAAAAGTTAAGGAATAGTCATAGAAAAGTTGTAATAAAATACTCATAACGAGGAATATTTTTTATACTAGATTCACATATTTGCCTAGTTTTGTTCACCAATATGCTTCACATTTTTCGTGGGTACGACGCTGTACTTATGGGATCACTTTTTCACAGTACAAGAGAATACATTTTGCCATGACTGGTATTGGTTTCAACGTGCAAACTTTGTTGTTACAATTTGGTTACAAATAATCTGAAGTTACTCTTGATTATTCATTAGTGTTTTACTTGGAATTTCAAGATTTTCTAACGAACAACATGCAACATTTAAAAGAGAGAAAAATATATATATCTATATCTTTATTATAACAAGTATTCCTCGTTGCGAGAATTGAATCGCGCAAGCAAAGCGACGTCGGCTATGACACGCACGAAGCTGCGAGCAAGAGAGCAGGAGGGAGAGAGAGGGGCGATGTGCATATGTACCGTCAGTCTTTTTTCTGTCCGCTTTAGTCACTGCACCTAATCTCAAAACCAATAAAACGTTTCTAAGATTTTAGTGTGTTAACTAATAGAGTGGGCAAGAGAAGGTAGGTTTAGTGTGATATTGGTACGACGAACAGTGTGGAACCTCCAGTGAATCATACGGCAAATCTCCCGGATGATTCCCAGAGTGTAATTCTATGTGACAATCTACTAGTTAAGCCAAGACGCTCCTCAACCACCCGAATGGAACCCCGAGCTCGACTTGGTTGAGATACAGCGCCACGCAGAGGGCAAAGTCTTCGACGAAAGGCAGTAAGAACAAGGCGATAAAGCTTTGTCGTATGGCCAGCGAAAAAGCTACGGTAGCATCTAATTTTTAATATTCGTGAGCGAAAACGTGCGCGCGATTTTTCTTAACTTCGCGTATATTCTCACTCTCGTGCGTACGACCTGGGATTGTTACTGTTTTTAAGCCTTCTGTAGCAATCATCCGAAAGGGATTCCACACCGTCTACCTGGGGGTCCAATAAAGCCAAGGTACTTGAAGTAAAATACCAGCTAGCCATCCTTTGCCGGTCATTTTCCCAAAGTCTGTCGACAAACGAACCCACGAGCAACGAGTGCATCGGCCGCGATAACGAGAGTTTTTGCGATCTCTTCCCCTTTTAGCACTCTTAGATTACCCGCTTTTCGACATTTTTCGTCAAGAGAGCAATTAATGGGGCAGTAGTCATACTAACCAGCTTCGTCGAGGTGCGACGTGAGCCCAGCCATCGGGTGAAGATCCAGCGTCTTTCCCGCACGTAACCACGGCCCCCATCGGGCGCGAATATACACTTGCGGTCACGTACGCTGCAGTATTCCTTTGTCCGAATATTCTCCCCGTTATATTATAACTATATCTAT